GAAAAGGGACTTTGAGACGCATACTGAAACTTTTAGCCGATCCTGATATACCTGAAATCTTCAGGAGCTGTAAGGTAGAGATTTTGAAAGCAGGTGGAGATTCACATAATCATAAAGCAGTATAGGTTTGCAGTGCCATGTTACAATGAGAGAGACTGTTGCCGACTCACAATGTATATGGCGAATGAAGAAAGCCCTTTATGCGTCAAACCAATTCAAGTTGGAAAATTGTAAGGCTGCGGGACCATATAGGGGGGGTGGGGGGGGGGGCGGTAAGCACATGTTACAAAACCTTGCCCAAGTGAATTCCGACAAGTACCTAACCATCGAAGAAAAAGCGTGGGCGCCTAAAGAAACATGCAGAAGTACTTAACTGACAAAAAATTGGGCTAATTAAAGAAACTCGTACCCGCTCCCCTCAAAATTTCTTATTGCCCAATTCTTATGAGTCTATAATGAGCAGTGGACTTGCGCGTTTTATACATGAATGAGAAAAGAGTACCTGCTTACCAAAGTGAAGGAGGGGGAAGGCTTCAAGGGAATATACATGTGCGAGTTAACGTGGATGGCGTAAACTGATAAATTTGATGTTTAATTTCGTTAGTCTTATTTTCGATCATTCAAATTGTGACTATTTTTCATGATAGTACTTCCAACAGAGTGTCACTGGTGTTAATTTTTGGTTTACGTTGATCACCCATCGACAAACGAATACATAAATATTTAAGGTAAAAATTGACCTCACTGAAGAGGTCTTCTGTTTCCTCACCCTTTCTTTAAAGCTTTTGATATGAGACGTTTCGCCATTTTTTATCTTGAAGTAAGTGCATATGCGTTGATTGTTGTTTCAAATAGCCACGATTCTCAAAGACAAAAACGATATTGGAAAGTGGGTAGGTACCGTTTTACTTTTAACATAACAAAGCTGATAAAGGAAACTCAAATGTGACCTGCGGTTATTGCAGCCTAGGGCTATGTTCTGTACTGTTATTTTTCTAGTGTTGAAAATTTATAAAAATCGATATTATGGAGGAAAACTTATTTAAATCTGGACTCCTTCAGTTTTGCTACTTTTAGCGGAAACACGTCCCATAGCCTGGCCCCAACGAAACCTGTGATCTTCCCTGATTTTACTTTGATTGTCTACATAAATCACAGCTCGTCTGATAAATCATAAAATCATTTTTTTTTCCCATTTTATATCGAATGGTAAAAATCAAAAGACTTTTAAAACAGTTTAAGCTAGTAAAGATACTTGGTGGCGCGTGTGTGCCTGTGTGACACTCGTTACTTGTATATAACACCCTTATGTTAGAGTCTTGCAGGTAATGAGAATCAGTCGTCAGAGGGGTTCTTTCACTGCTTTTTAAAGGAAAATACACACGCTTAATAAAGAGTTGTGGTAGGCTGGAAACTCCGCGAAGGGGACACTAAATACTGTCACTAAGAACAGTGTATCTGTACAAGCGAGTCATGTCAATATCGTCACAAATACGCATTTTATTAATGAAAGGAAAAATGTATCCAACAGATCAAACAGAACACTACCATAAACAAGCAAAACGATCCTTCACAAATTGCCATGATTTCGGTTCCGTAAAATTAAGTCTATAAGAACACACAAAATTCACTTGTTTATTCATACCTTCATGTATGTACTCGACTAAATTCATTCACTCTGCATAGACATTCACTTTTAATGTAGACTTTATCTAAAAAGTATTTGTTGTTATTTGGAATTTTTTTTTTTTTGCCCTCAGTGCATATTGCCCCCGACTGAGTTTGGATAAAGATTATCTGACGGAGCACTGGACGATGCGGTTATGAGCGCATTTTTTGAAAAAATATGGATGTAATGAGATTAGAATGAAACAGATCAGTTTATCATTGATTTTCGTTTTTATCTAGTTAATGGTGAACAAAACGTTATCCGTAGTAAAAGGACGTTTGGCAGTTCAGAGCCACCTTGTAACAGTGAGTATAATTTCTCGTCATTGTAACAGTTTGGATAATTCCCTCAATTTTGCTAATAAACGGAAGAAAAACGCACGTAAAGGGCATTGATTTGGCTAGTAAACAGAATTCATAGGTAAAAAAATCCTATCTTTGCTTGTACGTACGTAAGTGAGTTCCTTCAGTCGGCGATGTTATTTGGTGCATTTAAAATGAGTAAAAGATGAAGAAAGGCGGGAGAACTTCAGTAAAGCTTGTCGTGTAGGAAGGTAAAAGGCGCAATTCCTATCATGAGATTCCAGCTCATCATACACGAACAAACGGTTAGCTTCTTCTCATGTCAGTCCCAGGTTAATATAACTTAACAGTAATCGGTTAAAAAAAGTAATGTATGTGATTAATGAAGGTCTTTTTCTTTTGTGTAGTGACCAACGGTGTTTACTTGGAGAAATGGGAGAAGATTGATTACAAACGCATTCGATTTTTGCTGGAGGACCCACGATATCCAAATCTGCCAAGCTTTAGCACGTGCATTCCCACATTTGAGCAGCCTTCAAACTGGGGAGACTTCTTTGGCTCACGTTTGAGGACATACTTTGTTCCATTTCAAACTGGGGACCATTACTTTTTCCTGTGTAAGAAGTTTTTACAGATGATTATTTTCAGCTTACAAATTCAATCAATATCTGAACTAATTTTAAATAAGAACTTTGTTTAGCAGTTTCTAATTTCGTGGAAACTTTAACTACTAATACTATGAATGTGACAAACGCAACGTTTTTAGCTATCGAAAGGGTACAGAAGGCAATCCCAATTTTTTTCATCCATACTATATTCTTTCTACATTTGACGTTTTTTATCCATCTAATGTCAACGTGTTTTGTTTCAGCTTCTAATGCTGGAAGCGCGCTTTTCTTAAGTACGAATTCATCCGCCGGAGGAAAAACTCTCATTACCTATGTTGATGGAGGCTTCCCTACAAAGAAATATGAATATGACAGGTATAGGAATTTTCAATCAGATCCAATTTCAGTTTTTGTATCTAGTGAATGATTTTCTCAACGGAGAGAGCGCCTGTGCGGTCGGTGTGTCACGTGTTAGGTTCGTGCAAGAGAGAGTAGTGGGACAGTCAGAGGGAATCTTGGGCGTTGGCCAGGATAAGTGAATTTCACTAAGTTATTTTTAGAAGTTGTAATTAAACAAGCCCCCGTTGTTCAAACATTGGATAGCGCTTTACTCTGGATAAATCACTATCCAACAGATAGGTATTGGGGAAACTAATTGCAATATCCAGTGAATAGAGATTTATCTGGTGGGTACCACTATCCGGCCTGCCTTTCAACAACCGAGGCCAGGAGTCTTATTCCTGGAACGCTTGCATATTTTAATCTATTGTTTGAAACGTCATCAAGTCCAGGATCGGAGCGACTACCGCAAAGCAAATGAACGCAGAATATTGTAATGGTGTAACACCAGTATCCTCTATTGACAACACTGAATAAATGTTTGTGGACCTCTTAGGAAACCAACATCCGATTAATTTCATGTTGGTCTAAAAATAACTTTGGTGAAATTCACATATCCCAAGGGCTAAACTGGGCGTTTCCCTCTCTGACCCATTATTCTCGCTTCTCTAAATTTTTTTTCCCTGTTGTTCTACTCTTATGACATGACAATTATTACATCACTTAGGATATATAAAAGAAATCTTACGATTATGTGAACTGCGGTTGGAGACTATGAAAGTGATGAGATCTTGCAGTTAATAAAACAACCTTAATGGTTAAAAAACTGAAAAAAATTCAGATATACGATAGTTTCCCAGCCCTGGGCATTAATCATTGAAGAGGACCTCTGCCTTGCCAGATTCCTTTCTTAAACACCCAACTTGCAGGTATACAAACCAAAAAACCCTTCCGATTTCATTAAAGAAAGGTAAGTATTACTACATGGAGGCCATCATGAAAGACGATCACCAAGAGGATCATTTAGAAGTTGGTTTGCAAACCCCAGATGGAACATTCTACAAGGTGATACCCTCCGAGTTCCTACGGACCACAGTTCGTCTTTCTGCTTGTGAGTCTAGCCTATAATACGATCATTTTTTACATCGTCCTACGTTTATTAAGAGTATAGACAATGGATTGGTGCATTGATAGGCACCTTCTCGATGTTATGTACTCGCGATTTTCAGAGAAACTTTCCCGGTATAAAATGTTTACAAAAATCTAATTTTTTCGCAAGTAATCGGTTTTCTATCGTATACATCTCTCAGTAATGATCAAACCTTTTTCAAACTGTCATTTCTAGCATCTATAAGAATGTAGAGTATGGTTGATTTGTTAACTTATTCGCTTGATTTTTTTTAGTAGGTCAACGTCCTAAATGAGTTTTGCTATTTGCATTGGTAAAATGAAATCAGAATTTTTTGTGTCAAGAATGCTCTTCTGCTTTTTCCTTAGATTTGAAATTTTTAAGTGAGAGTCTTTAACACAGCAAAAATACCCAAAACGAAAACACTTTTTTTTATCTTGCTTATGATCATCTGGGGATGAAATCATTTGCATTTAACCTTCTGCAGCTCAAAACTTTACCTACCGATCCATCCTTATTAAAGTGGCAGCCAAGGCTGGCGCAAGTGCTGGTTCATCTTTTGGCGCAAAATATGCAATGAAAAGTGGTGCTGAAGCAGGAGCTATAGCCGGTGGAATAGCAGGGGGGGAGGCTGGAGCATCGGCTGGTGCAGCTGCTGGCGAGAGGGCAGCGATACAAATGACTAGGAAAACAATAGAAGATGCGCTGAACAGCCTTCATGGAGACAGCTTGCACAGATATAACATCATTTTAAGAAACGGAAATGTAGTTGCTGTGACTGGACCAGGGCTGGATGGCGCGGAAGAAGCAGGAGCGACTAGTGGTGGAGCAGGCGGTGGGAATGGACCCAACGAGGCTGGAGGTACATCTGGCTCTACCGGCAATGGTGGTGGTGGAAGTTCAGGAGGAGGTGTTGCAATAGGAAGCGGAAAAGCAGGGACGGGGACGGGAGCAGCGCCTTCTGGTACTGGTGCAGGCACTGCTGGCGGCTTGGGTGCAGGCGCTGGGGCCGGTGTTGGTAAGACTACAGGTGGGGGTGCGAGTGGGAGTGTCAGCGGAAGTACCGAAGGAGCTACTTCAGCTAGTGCTTTGGTATCTGGATCAGTTGCCGGTGGTTTGGGAGGAGGTGCGTGGTCCTCAGGTGGCAGAGCAAGTATCACTGGTGGCATATCACACCGTCAAGTTACCTATATTCCAAAGCCGGGAGAGGACCCACAAAGTCTTGCACGTTCTTTGGTTTGGAGAGCTGGTGGAGCAACAAAACGTAAGTCAACACCCATGAGTACGAACGTATGAGAAAATATTGTTTTGCTTTGCTCCGCAATACTTCTAGCTATTCAAAATAGAATGTTATTTTAAAAATAAAAGACAGCGTTTTCAGTAGTAAGGAGCAAGGGTGGCACAGTTGTAATTGGTCAGCGCGCGGCCTTTGGTGCACGAGGTCCCGAGTTCGATCCCCTGTAACATCACATCCTTGATTCAACTTCTCTCCTTTTTGGGCAGCTTTGACCAGCTTTAACTTGAAACGGCATTGCTGGGGAGAGGGGGGTAAAATGAGCGCACCGGCGTCGACCTCAAGTTTATCAGTTTATCAGTTTATCAGTTATCAGTGAATGGAGGCATGGAAGGCGCATGTACAATTTTTCAACTAAGTTAAGACTGTTTGACTTCCCTCTGAAACTAAAGACGTTTTATGCCTCCCTTAATGACCCCTGAAATGCTATTCCACAACCTACAGCCCAACTGAGAAAATAAAACGCATGTCCAAGGCAGGATGCGGGAGTATGTTGCGCCTGCACATCCCGCTTCCCCTGAGATTTTAGCGGATAGAGATAGTGTACAAGTTGTGTTAACTTTGTGATAGCTTTATCAATGAAATGACAGGTGTGAAAGAAGCAATTTTAGCAACAAGATCTCACTGGCAAAGGATTTCCTACAAACAAACAGTGATAGCCCAATATAAACCGAAACCTGAAACAACACTTTTCTTTCTTAGTTGTAGACAAAGGATTATATACTGTCCATTCTTTTGACGTACCATACCAGCAAGAAAACACTTCCCTTAACTTCTGCTGGCAAGTACACAATGGAGACTTAGCCTTAAGGGCTTTTTGCCAAGTGTTCCAAGCACGAATCCCTGGGTTGTACAAAGCCTTCGAAAAAAAGAACGAAACAGTATCGTTTGAGTCAGTCTGTTTACCTGGTTACTTCATGAGACAGAAGAACTATCACTTTATCCTTGAAAAACGCGATGGAAGTGATCTATTTGGTGAGTCAGTAAATACTTTTTATTAACCGAGAGTGAGGTCATTACAGAGAAATCTCAGACCGAGGCCTTGGATGTATTGTCTATAAAGTTTGGATGGACAGGTGCAATATATGTTTTTCAACCTTTCTTTTCAGATAAAGAGAGCTCCTTCACTGTGTATTCTGTGATGAAAATATCTCGTAATCTTATGCTACAAAGTATGCACAAGGACTGGTACGTTTGCCAATCGAAGACGAAGGTAAAGGAAAAAACTGACATAAAGTTGGATTTCTACAATGGCAAACCAGACGTCCTTAATCGCTGCACGTTTATGTTCCATCCGATAGCACAGAACGAGGATAAATACAGAATGTGCAAAAACGTATTAGGACCAGTTAAACATCCTGAAATAGTCGGACAACCTCTTCCTCATCCACCTCATCTTGTTCCTAGAAAACCAAACCCACCCACCGTACTTCCGGCATGCATTCCAATCTGTGCAGTGAGTTCGACTGGAGAAGAATCTGGAAAACCGAGGATTGTCAGTCCCTCGGTTTCCACCAATGGCACAGTTAACACAGCTGCAAGTAAGTTTTCTGAAAAAGGTCCGTCGAGGTTAAGGTAGTTGACCCTCTCTGCCCTAGAGGGCAGTTTTACAGATAGCAGATAATTAACCTCAAATTGTTCCAATTTTTTTTATGTTTGAATACTTTGGAAAATACAGTAACGCTTGCTATCGCACTAACGTAAGGGCAGTTAAGTCTTCTCTGGCAGAATCTGACAAGAACTGAGGTACCCCCCTCGCAAACACTTAAACGTACTTAACACTCTTCCTAAACAAAAGTGTTTTTGCAATTCATCACTGACACAGCATCCACCTTTCGTTTAGTCTGTTTCTCTTTAGTTTCTTAGTTCGTCGCTGCTAGTTTTATCGTATTTTTTCGATAAATTCATATTGTGATCACGCCTACATCATTTGCCTAACTTTAACTATAAGTTGTTGTTTTTACAGAGATGTGTGTGGCCCTGAACTTTGTCAACAATTTTGGATCCCCTTTAAAGCTGTACTCGTCTTTAAAGAATGAAGGATATCTTGTTACTGGAAATGGCCTTAAGCTTAAACTAATTATTGCTCGACCTGAACTTCATAGTCACGTGACATTCTACGCGGAGGACCTTACGGGTAGAAGAGAGCTTCTTCTGAATGGAGCATCCAGTATTGCGGAACCAACGATTTTGGGATGTCCCAAGTTTTTGACGGTATCCGTGACGTCTGAAAGAGGTGACTTAAAAAAATCTAACCACGGTTTCACTAACCCAGTATAGTTACTATTAAACTAGGAGTAATCGGAGCTTAGAAGAGAGCGTTCGATATGTTTGTAAGGCGTACAGGTAGCAGTTGAGGAAGAAGCTAAGGGTGGATGGTTGTTGCGATAGATTAAGCCCGGTTTCCATATGATCGCTATGATCGCTGCGATCGCTCAGAAAAAAATGTTCAGCGATCATATGGAAACCACTCTCCGGCGATCGCAGCGACAATGATCGTTGAGATAAAACTTTTTATATCTCAGCTATTGTTGTCGCTGGGATCGCTGGAGAGTGGTTTCATAAGACCGCTATAATCGCTGAAGTTTTTTTTCCTCAGCGATCGCAGCGATCACAGCGATGGTAGCGATCATATGGAAACCGGGCTTTACTTTGATCATGGCATATTTTAAACGTAAGGATTGCTTACAGCGAAACCTCTATTTAAACTGTGTATCATTATGAAAAAGCCTTGAAGGCTAGTGATATCGCCGGTATAGCCCATCTCAATAAGTGCAGTAGTTTGGTCGAGTTTGTTGATTTCAGTGACTTGAGTAGAGCTACTGTGGGCTGTTTATAAGTTTTTCCGCATAAATAACATAGACCTAAAATGTTCGTTTGTCTGGTGCCGGAAATATCACAAGTCATGCTGAAACGGCGCCGCCGAGCTTCACATCTCGGCAGATTTACTTTGTGGCACAACGGCCGCCGGGATACACAACTCTGATTTACTTTGTGGCATAACTTCCGTCGAGCTACACAACTCGGTAGATTTACTTTGTGGCACAACGGCCGCCGAAACTTTTGAAAGATGAACGTTTTGAAAGATTCAGCAAACACAGATCGATAGTAGACCTTCAGCAAACTCTTGAAATATGTAAGCTTTACGACGATTCAGCAAACTTTTAAAAGTTGAAGGCTAAAAGACCTCAGCAAACGCTTGAGGACGCACGAATCACCACGTGAGTCAGTTCGTCAAAGTGAAGCAAAACGTAAGCAAGCGCCTCAAAGCGAGGCAAATGTGTGTCGACGACGACGACGACAAACGCAATCTCGAAAAAACCTCCCTTATAAATTGCACAGGGAACCCAACAATGCACAGAACGCCCAACACAAACTAGGGGTTGCGTTCTCGTACCTCGAACGCAATAAGTGAATGCGAACAAAACGAGTATTTAAAAATTGCTAGGTTGCGATTTATAGTCGATCGAATCAAATTGCTCTTGAAACAATTTTTACATCAATTTAACATGATCTTGTCATAATTCTTAGCGTAACTTAATTCGTGTTTTGCTTTCGTTAAGCGATGCCTCTGGAGACTGACAATTTGTCGCTTTCGAGCAGCAACATCTCTGGAACAGCTAATGCTACCAACAAATGACACATGACAAAGAATAACGCTTCGAGAAGGAGAACAGAGTTCACAGTCGTTTCAAGTCCGATTTTCCTTTCTCTTGTATTGGTGTTTCAAGGTCTTTATCTGACTTTTAATTCCTTAACTTTGTTTGGTTTTACCCGTATAGAACTCATTAGGGGAGGTTTACCAGCGAGTGCAACAAGAGCCTCTAATTCAATGTCTCATCATTCCGGTGCGCATCCACCCCATTCTCCTCCTGTTTATTCGCTCCCCAATATTTCAGCTTCTGCAGCTTCTCCACCCCCAGCGGTAGCACCACCGCCAGCGGCAGTACCACCGCCTGCTACTACTTCTGTAGCGTCACAGTCTGGAGCCCTAGGAGAAAATAAATCACACCAAGGTAAGTCCATCTTAGTTACAAAATGTGAGAAACAAGGTTCGTGTGCGTGGTTTGCACCTTTTAAGCTAGAGTTTTGAAGCATTTCTTGGGGAGATAAGTAGCTTTACGTGTCGTGTTAATGCAAATATTCCTTTGTTGTTACATCGCGGACTATTGCGGTCCTGCTCATTTACGTAACGTAGCTTAACAGTTGTTTTCATAGGCTCTGTTGTTTTGCCTTTTTAGACCCCCTCTTTTTCCTTTGCTTTACGTTGTGGTTTTTACACTGAAAAAAAGAAAATTTTACCTCGGTCGTGGACAAAATAAAAGCATATTGGTTGAAGGAGAATAGTATTATTGAACTTGCTTTGCAAAGTATTGTCAGTATTTAGAAAAATAATCAATCTTATTGTTACGAATCACGATAATTTGCTCAAACTCGTCCACTGATTTTTTGCTTTTTAAAGGTATGTAACGGTAATTTTCTTTTATTAAACAGATCACAAAGTAATCCATTATCATTACCATTACAATGATCGGGATCAACCAGAAACAACTATAGGTAAATATATTAAGGAAACCCCTTCCCGTGGGAAACGGTAGATAAGTGTGGAAATATGGTTTAAAAAGCTCTGCAAAATGATGAAAATATTTTGAGATATGGTGCTGCTTTGACCTCATCCAAATTGGCGGTAGTCTTGGCTGTCACCAGTTTATACCAATAGAGGCCTTTGAAGCAAAAATTCAGCGGTCTCCGTGTACCTTCTTATGTTTTTTTTGTTGTAAAAGTTTAGCGGACCTGCCGGCAGCCGCAAAGAGAGAAAAAGAGGGAAATTGCCAAGCTCAACTACTCCATCTTCAAACAATATATTTAGCTAAACTTCGCAAAATATCCCAAGAGCATGAAAGAGGCCATTATAAAAGCTAACCATCTCATTAGCCCGGAGATTATCCGGTTTTTATGATTTGGCTAGTAATATGTCTACTCCTCTCTGAGTGTGTTTCTTATCCATCACTGGGTTTGCTTCCCCCCTACCCCTAATTGAGCTCGCCGGTACCCATAAATACATCTGGGTGGAGTCAGGCACTTTGAGAGTAAAGTGTCTCGCCCAAGAACACAACACAATAACCCTGGCCAGGGTTTGAACCCGGAATTCTCGATCTGGTCTCCGAAAAACTTAACATTAGGACATTGCGCCTTCCACTTACTAACTACATTATTGATTTTAGACAGGTAGAGAGCAGTCCAGAAGTGAATACTGTTAATCCAATTTTATACTCGGTTGTCACCTTCTTTGTCTAATTTTAACAAAAGACATCAATAAAGTTAAGGTTCTAATCCATCAAAACTTCTGTAGTGAAGAATAGGAAAACTTCGTAACCCTATCAATTTGTCTGACTATTCGTTTATAGAAGACATAGAATGTCCCAGCATATGCGCAAGATCAGACAAGTGTCACCCTTCCTGTCCATTGTTTTGTTGCAAACGAAGTAACATTATTTCAACAGCGACGAGGAAATGAAAAGTTAACCGGAGCTAAGAGATGGATAGAGTCAATTAGAAGATAAAACCAGGGACTGATTTTTTAAACTAAGTGAGAGATTAATATTGCACGTGGTCTCTAAATCAATGAGTTGTATGTGGACAGAATTTCAGATTTAATGATGCTTAATATGAGATAAATAAATATAGATTCGTTTCCCTAGCGAATGGATTCACTTGTGTCTGATCTTCCTGGCTATACTTTTGGCTAAATATAGTTTGTAGGGTAAAGATATAAGAATTTACTGTAAACACACTCACTGATGTTGGTGTTTAGAAAGCAATTTGATTGGTTCGCAATCTCGGGATATTTAGCAATCATTAGATAAGGTTGAGTATTTCTGAAGAATTATGGATATCGAGCAAGAGACTATAAAGGGGACAGAGAGGGCATCCCCGATATAGACCCTATTCCATAGGTAATTCGTCTCGAGTTATTTTTATAGCGAGAATGTGTTCCGCGTGGATGACCCACGCTGAGAGCCACGCGTCCTTCACGAAATGACGCAGAACAAAATGGGGGAAGACGCGGAGAGCGATTTTGCTATTTCTTTTGTCGACGAAAACGACTACAGCGAGATTTCTGCGAAAGCTGTTTCAGCGAAACGGAAATTAAAAAAGAATCGCCCTTTCTCTCTTGTATAGAGCTAACAGTAGAGCAGGGAAATCCTTAACACACTGAATATTCTCTCAGGATCATTTATAATTTACAGTTTGAAGAGAGCAATTTCTGGTTTGATGTTTATTTTTTTCAGTCTTTATAGCGATTATTCCTACCCACTTACTTTGTCAATTGTAGGCGAACCCTCCTAAAGCTGAATTTCAAGGGACCATATTCAAGCTCAGAAAGAGAAATAAAATTTCGTCGTTGCTTATTTACGTCCTCCATAAAACGCGAAATTAGGCATTTTCACGTCGTAGTCGTGCAAAAACGGGAAAGAAATGAACAAAAAAGTGTGTTGCACGTGCGAAGTTGTTGTTTTGCTAATTAAACCTATTGTTTTTTTGACGTTCTAGTTGTCGTCCGCGTCGTTGGATCTTAAACTCCCTAAATTGTACAAACGACCGGTTTCAATAGACCGGCGAAATTTCTCATTTTATTAAAGCACTGAGGTTACGACAACTTCGAGTTAAACTGATTTCACGGGTTGTCAAAGAGTCCAGCGATTCCTTTTTCCCAGGTGAGCGCCGACTCATTTCGCTTCAATATTCAGGAATGCTCTCGATCTTTTTACGCTTTCATTGCCTCTCGCCCGACATGTTTTGCACGGCGTTTGGTCATGCGAAACCTCCACGAAACATCCACGCCTCGCGCGAGGTAACTTTATCCCGATTCTAAAAATAACTCGAGACGAATTACCTATGGAATAGGGTGTATATGGGGGATGCCCTCTCTGTCCCCTTTATAGTCTCTTGATATCAAGCTATTCTGTACTGCTCTAGCCCTAAGGACGAGTTTGCCTTGCTTTGGTGCTCGGCTGCGGTCAATTTTTCTGGCATCTATGTACTTACTATTGTGGGTGTCAAATGACTCCTTAATTTTGGCGCGAAATTCAGCGTTAATTTATAATGTCATATGTTAGATTACAAAATCGCCATGGCAACGTTCCGTACGTTTCAGTGCCAACATGCCGTCAAAGTTTGAAAGTTTTATGAATCAGAAAGAAGACGCTTTAGAAAACCTAAACACACGAAAGAGCACACCAAGAATGATTTTAACAGGTATTTTGTCAAAAAATTCAGAAACTTGTGTGCTTAAGTCAAAATTTATGCTGTTAACTTTTCAGTGCATGGATTTGTCGATACGACAAACAAACCACGATTGTGAGCTAATTGTGACCGTAATTTGTCACACATGATATTAATAGGTAACCAGATGGTATACTCGTAAAGATAGTGAGTAGTGTTACTTGCGTTTTGTCCATTTGAGTTACACTAACTAGAAAAAATATTTGAATTTGGACCAAACTAGCGAAAAAGAATTCCATAATTTCACTCGTCACAATTTGATTACACAGACTAATATGCAAATGTATTTGAACGAAATTTTGGCGCACGTGGGAATTTTAGCTTTCTAAAAACAAATTCAAGGCTTGTGTACAATAATAAATAGCATTAAATTGCACGTTTATTTATTTCCGGTTGTAGTAGTCGCACTGTAAACTATTCGGACCAAACAAGTAGCTTAAAGTCGCCGCAGAAAACCCTATTTCAAGGTTTTCAAAAGAGGCAGCTTCTAATTTCTCAAAATTCTTTAGCTCGCTCACGCTTAATTTGCACACCCAATGAGATTTTAATCTGGTCTGTTATTCCAATCAGCGTTCTCAGGGTCGATCTTCCTGCTAACAAAAAGGGTTTACCACAGTGCAATGCTGGCCATGAAACTTAGATCATGCTTACGTGAAAAATGTCTATCTCTAAAACTATTATTCTTTTCAATCCTGGCCACAGTTGTTCAAACGGTGAATAGCGCTATCTATTGGTCCCGTGATATATCAATAACGTCAAGCGGCGTAGGGAAGATTACCAGAGTCATGACTTTCTTGATTTCCTAATTAATAACTTTCAACTTCTGTGCTTGGCTGAGTTTGAGCAGCGACGTATCAAAAAGCAATCCACGTCAACCGGAAGTGGACTTTTTCTCTTTGTATATCCCTTGACGCCACCAAATTTATATTGCTAAGTGTCTTTACTCTTAAAGAGTGGTTTTATTTAAAAATTTGTTCAAAATAAGGACTCAAGAGTGCAAAAAGTCCACGTCTGGTAGACGTGCGTTGCTCAAAAACGTCGCTGCTTAAACTACCTTTAAATAATAGGCAGCTTTCTTAAAAGCAACCACGACAACGACAACATCAGAATACAATTGGTTTTATGAGCAAAACACTAGCTCTGCACATGCATCACGCTTTTACATTTCTTTGACGTCCACTGCACGAATACGACGTGAAACCTTCTTTACATGGTTTTATGCAGGACATGAACATACGACGAAAGGACCCATATTCAAATTTTTAGCGACGTTTTCACTGTCGTCGTCGTCGTCGTTGCTTAAGCTCTTTAGTGGCACACCGAAAGAAAAGATTTTTTTGATTCCATTTCCTGCCGTCTCAGGCAGCAAAACGGCCAAGATACGAAGAGAAAAGCAGCTGCAATCCGCTTATATTGTTAGAACCCGCTCATATTGCTAAAAAGATCGAAACATTAAGCAAAGTAAAGGAAAACATAAGCCCCCGGGCCGGGCATGCATGTGAAGTCCCATGTACATGATCGCCTACTTTAAGAAAAAGTATAGCATCATTTCCAAAAACGAACATACTTTTGAGAACAATTTGGAAAAATATTGCGCAGTGCTAGTATATACAGTGTATCTTTTGAATTCAGCCTCTGTGCTGAAATTTCCGTCTCGAAAGAGAAATAATTGACTGTATGACAAGTGGTTTCAGTGATAATTTACAATTATTGAGTGAGACTCGGTATTATCTGAAGAATTATGGAGATCGAGGAAGGTATTATTCGCTGAGGCCGATTAGGCGGAGGTGGATAACACCCTCCGAAATACAGCTATTTCGAGAAAGATTGTCGGAAAAATGTCACGCGACAATCCCGAAAGGTAATATGATCAATACACTGTTCCTGACACTGTAGCTGTCGAACCTACTTTTGTTGCTTTCCTTGAGCACTAGCAAACATATGTCCGTGGCCTCCGGTGCCATTCTTGCCAGTGTCTTTGAACAAAGTGCACTAAAGACAACCCCCAGTATCCTTCGAGATTGTCGCCTGCACTTTTTCCGACAACCTTCTCGAAATAGCTGTATTCGTAATTCTTCAGATGTTACGAAAGCCGAATTCAATAATTGTTGGATCATACTAGTTATGTGGGAAACGGAGCTCGATAAAGGTTTATGTAATTGTTTTATTGTTTTTTAAAATAATTCCTAGTTTAAAAACAAACTACTAAACAAGCTTGCCTCACAGATGTTAAATTCATCTTCAATTGCCTATTTATTGGTAAGTTTAGGAGGTAAAGGGTTGTTCAGTTTAGTATTCTCCAAATAGCAGAACTAGTGCGTCGATTTGTATTCTTGCTGTTCTTGCTATCCCGTTTTTAGCCAATAGTTTGCTTAGTTCTTCCTCTCGAAACTGAGTGAAATGTTCTGCCATTTTGTACTCACCACTAAAACAACTCAACCTCGTCCCTACGTCCTCTCCATTAACCGTCAAGTTTGTAGAACTGACGTCGTTATTCACAGATCGCACACTTCTTGGTAAACAGTGGCTGGTTACAACGAATTATCCGTGGGATTTGAGCCAATCAGGAACGGAGAAATATTTTGAAGGAATAATAATACCATATTTACGGGGGATGACAGCTCTAAGAAGGGCTGTTTCGGGAGAAAAACAAATTTATTCCGGGAATCTGGAGATTTTGCCGGGAATCGGGAAACCTGGGAAATTTTTCGGGAAATATGAGATATTTTCGGGACATTGAGCAAAGGTTTGATATTACATGTTATCAAACAATATATATACAGTGATATGCACCCAGTGTATGCGCTGTATTCTATGTGTTTTGACACTTGAAAACGGCTGAACTCCCCATGATATGAAAAGACCAATCAGCAACGTTTCCAACTAAAATAGCATGAAGTTCGAGTGCGATTGACCACGTGCAATCCCCAGCGGATTGACACAAGAACCGTACCGGTGCAAGGCACATACTATCAGTTCACACCAGATCCCATCATTCATTAGTTCAGGGGTATTTTTACGCTGCACGTTAACGAGTTTTAAGAGCACATTCCACTGATTGCATACTGGAAAACTTGAAAAAAGTACGTAAGAAGTATGTAAGAAAAAAACGAAACTCATTTAACCTTGTTAAACACAAATGAGGCCATAAAAAGTATGTCTGTGAAGACTCTTTAATCATCCTGATCTCGTCGGGGTCCTTCCGATTTTGCTCGAAAATCCCGAATCCCGATCAATATGCGTTCGGGATAGGAAAATTTCAGATTTCGATAGTTGTTCTGAAATTTCCAAATGAATTCTTATGATACTCATACAATGACACCACACAGAGTATACCGTACTGATCCGATTAACCGCCCTGGGCGCTTACTAAATTTTTGGACCTTGAGAGTGGGCGCTTATTAAATTTTCACCATTTTCAGCAAGTGAAGTATGTTTATTTTGCAACAAAACAATAAATGCTAATAACAAAACGCGAAGAAGTAACAAAACAAGGTTTCTGTAAAATACTCTGAAGAAAACTCTGTCCTCGGGGAAGTCTCCTATTGGAATTCATTTACTCAAGTGGGTGGGGTGGGGGTGAGCGCTTATTTGATTTTGATCGGGAGGAGGAGGGGGTGGGCGCTTATTCGAGGCTGGCCGCTCATTAACTTTTTCTACCTTTAGGATGGGCGCTTATTCGAGGTGGGCGCTAATTCGAGGTTGGGCGCTTATTCGAATAAATACGGTTCTTAGCTGAAAGTGATATCCAGAGCAATTTCAAAAACTGCATAACTTGTATGAAGTAAAGTTGACTACTTCTACGCGAAGTCACGCCAATAAAAATAAGCATAAAAAGGACAATTGATTTAGAGAACATTTTGGACAGAATTTGTCCTCTCAGAACACTAGAAATGGCGTTTCAGAGCACCAAGATTTCAAAATTTTCTGGGGGAGCACGCCCCCAGACCCCCTAGTGGTTGGCCCCTTCACTGCTCGCCTGATTCATCGGTGATTAAAAAACAAAAAAACACGATTTTATATGCTTAAAAAGTTTGACAGTCTTTCTGTGTTATCATGATACCCTCTAAACGAAAAAATAACTAAGGTTAGATAACTAACAAGTTACATAATTAACAAGAAGCTGCAAAAAATCTCTAATCACAATTTTTAATTTTAATTGTTAAAACAACTTTGGGAAATTAAACATTTATGGGGAATGCCACCGAAAAATTCGGGAGGGTCGACGAAATTTCCGGGAGGACATAAAGTTATTCATAGGACTGCCCAAACAGCCTTTGTCAGAGTTGTCACCCCCCGTATATTTGTACCATACTTTCATCATTACGCCTGTTACTGATTGATCGAGACTAAACGCTGAATATTTTTTCTCAACAACAGTAGAAGATCCCCAGTCCGTAAATTGTGGCTCAAGCGAGAACATGGCACGGGAGGGCAATAGGACTTAACTGAGAACGGGGGGGAAGGGGAGGGGGGAGGGGGCTATAAATTTCTTTTATAAATAGTGGAGGAGGACTCATTATTTAAGAGGATATGAAGTATCATCCACTGAGAAATAGTCCTAAACGCAAGGTTCTCATCGGCATCAATGCCAATCGATTATTGTCTGCTACCTACTACTTGACTGGAATGTATCAGAATTTACTCAGCTTAATTTGAAATAAAACTTTTTAATTAGGCCCAAATTTGAGTAAGACAATTTACCACCAAACCGTGAATAGGAAACTATTTCAGTTAATCTGTTTACCTTGAAACCAAACGCTTTGTTTTAGCTTTTCACAATGATCACTAAGACAAGTTCTTTTAAAACTGTACCTCTTTGAAAAGGAATTCTAATTCAAATATAAATTATACAACAGAAAATTCTTTCATTTCTTTTACCTTGATTTTAGTGATTTGCTGTTTAAGGCCTAAAAAAGGGCGGCAGTTAACACTAACAAGACAAGAACTTGAAAGCCATTGCAGGTAATAAGCCGTGTCCATTACATCATGGCAAGCGGGTCAATAAAACCACCGACAGGCGAGACCTTCATGACAGGTGTCTTAAAGCAGGAGGAAAGTTAATTTAAAGAAAATTCGTCACAAGTGGTTTGCAATGAACCCAATAATGACCGAAAATCGACTGTTTCGAGTGTGACTCTTATGATATGATCATGCAGTATGAGAAGCGTTCTGTTCTTGTTTTATGGCCTTTTTTGGTGTGGCTTTTATGAAACTAGTCTAGGGGAGGAAAACCATAAAGGTAAGCTGCAGTCAAAATATCGTGACAGTTATTTGTTATTTTTAAGAAAGGTAGGCTGGTTTAATGTTTTGTCTTGAACAAGTGGTTATCTAACGGCAAAAAGAGGGTAATCTAAACATGGCCATTGAAAGAAATGTCAAGTTAATGTCGTTTTTGGGCCCCCCAACGCGACTGTTTAATTACCTCCTCTTGGCTGGTGGCTAGACTGGCTTAAAAACAGGCAGTATCTACTCATATCTGTCATTATGTCCAAATAGCGTTTATCTAGCAAATTAAAACGAGAAACGCCTCACAATACTTATTTGACAAGCATATTAGCCGACGATAAATGCTATGTCAATACTTTTAAGAAGTATGTAAGCATTTAAATTATAATTTCGTTCCTTCTACAATGAATGATATGTAAAGTTAAGCATACAAGCAGATAGTTTAAGTGAAAAAAGCCCTGAATGTTTGACTCAAACGGAAAATCAGCACTACCAATAAAGGCTCGATTGCACGAGTTTTGTGGTATCCAAATACATGAAGTCATGGTGCGATTTGTTCTCTCACCTGTAGCCGTAGGTACATTTTCAGCTTAACACGGCAAAGTGAAACAAATTCAATGTAGATCAATTATTAAAATGCGCGCGCACCTTAACAGTTTCTTTTTCTTCTGTAAACCCACAGGGAAACCAAAGGATGGTGGGGAACATAACGCTAGGCAGAAAATACCAAGGCAAAAGATAGCTTCTGGTTTGTATATGGTTATCGTTTTCAAAAGTTGCTTTTATTATCCTCAAGCCCTCGTTATGATCTAGTACATGCCATTTGTTCTCACGACCAAACCAATGCATGCCATTTGATCTCACAGCCAATCCAATGCATGCCATTTGATCTCACGACCAAACCAATGCATGCCATTTCAGTGAACTCGCAGCCAATCCAATGCATGCCATTTGACGTCACGGCCAATCCAATGCATGCCATTTAATCTCACAGCCAATCCAATGCATGCCATTGGATCTTACGGCCAATCAAATTCATGACGTTTGATCTCACGGCCAATTCAGTGCATGTCATCTGATCTTACAGCCAATCTAATGCATGCCATTTGATCTCACAGCCAATCTACTACATGCCATTTGATCTCACGGCCAATCCAATGCATACCATTTGATCTCACGGCCAATCTAATGCACGCCATTTGATCTCACGGCCAATCTAATGCATACCATTTGATCTCGCGGCCAATCCAACGTATGCCATTTGATCTCACGGCCAATCCAATGTATTCCCTTTGTTCTCATGACCAATCCAATTAACACCCTTTGTTCTCATGGACCAATGCAATGCATGCTTTCATGTACTAACCGCATCCCGTAACACACCTGATCACGTAAAATAAACTTAACAAGGAGAAAGAACATTGAATGTTTTACATCTTCGGGTTAGAATTTCGTTTTTTTGTCTTCTCATTCTTTTTATCTTCTGGCGCGTGTACTGGGTTGTTGCGGGGTTGTTTCGGATTACGTCAGGGCGTTGCATGTTCTTGCCGTATGTGCCGTGCATGCCCATGGAATTTATCATCGTGGAAGCTGACGTTAGAGCGGTGATTCAATTTGTGTGTATATATGCTGTACACCCAAAAAGCCTGGTCGACCCCGAGGAAGGGGTTTTCTTAATATTTATTCTTTATATTTATCACAGCATCCTTAAGAATAGATTAACAACATAGACAAAGCCTTTCAAATATAAAACTACTTGTCCTCATTACACGAACATTGACTAGGCCTTGATAATATATTTACATCAAAATCCAATCGATCAAATTAAAGAAGTTTTCGTCTTATTAAAGTGCAATATTTTCATGTTGATTTTCAGAGCCCAAAAAGCAGAGAGGAGCTATTCTTGAACGATGGGACGGAATCGATGGTTACCTGTGCCAGAAACTGTTGGAAGATCCTCGTTTTCCAACTATGCCCACATATTATTCATACACTCCGATGTTCAGTGAGCCAGTCAACTGGGGTGACAACTACGGCTCAAGAATCAGTGCCTACTTTGTGCCACAGCAAAGTGGACAACATATATTCTTTATAGGTGAGGAAGCATGTATCCTCATCAATCGGGGCTTTTCAGGGATAATTTTCAATACTACTGTGTCCGGAACCTACTGCCAGACTACTTGTGATACAGTATAATCAATTAATAGGTAAATAGTCATAAATACTCCTCCTAATTTATGGTCACCACCAAAAATTTATTACGCCCCTAAAAAGGTCTTTTATGTCCCACAGACTCACTCTGATTGAATGAAAGTACGTCCTTATCTGATTAGCCAGTTGGTTTAATTTCCAACTGCCAGTTAGCATTTTTATCTTACTTTGTTTCATTTGAATGTCATTTGTTAATGATTGTTCCTGAGATGGCCCTTGCGATGGCTATTTATCTGAATATTTAAACAATTTGCTAGTAGCCTTTTACATCTATATTTTATTCCAGAAAGTGACAATGAGGGCCAACTGTTTTTAAGTACGACAGATAACCCTGACGATAAGATTCTGATATGTCGCGTTGGAAAAGATCACGAGTCCCTTCCTATGCAGTTTAGAAAGTATGTATACTGTCTAGATATTGGTTTATATTTTAAGACAAAAATGATTATGATCCATTTTCATTAGGCGTTGTAGTCCGTTTGGAACCAAGGCAAACTGGAACTGTTAAGAAAAGTTATAAGAAGTAATTTAATTACTACGAAGCACCTGACAGCTCTTTGGAACTACGGCTCCATCCTTCCAGATCGAATTAGAAATTAGAAGTGGCGGGAAAACCCGAATGTCTGGAGTTAAACCTCTGTACTACCCCAATAATAATTCGTGTCTCGACCCATGTTGTTAGGCGAAACTAAACGGCTTAAAAATTGTTGCTTAAGATTATTGCTTTCGTATACCTTCAGATATCCCGAACAAGAATCATACCCCATCAACCTTATGAATGGCTCATACTACTACATCGAGGCGCTTCATAAGGAGCAATACGGCAATGATTCTCTGACGGTAGCTGTCAAGACCCCGGATAACAAATTTTACGCACCCATCCCCTCCCAGTTCCTGTGGACACAAGCGCCACATAAGGAAGGTATGGCAGTTATTCGAATCAATAAAATTGCTATTTTTCATAACTTCATATTCTCTAAGAATTTCCTTGTGCTTTTCGTGCCATTTATATCATAATGTTTTTAAAGACTCTGTTTAGTGTTAAAATTGTAAGTGAAAAATAACAAATGACCTGATTAACGTGAGCAAGTGTTCGGGATCCCATACGGCGATCCAAAAACAAATTGTAGGGCGATAAGGGTAGCAGGAGTAATCTACACTGTTATCAGAACAGAGATTCGTCACGTTTCTAGCAACCGTGCAAATCTTGAGAGGCGCTGTTCTTGACGCCACGCTGCCTGAAAGAAAGTTGCAACGAGAATTTACTAGAACCGAAGATAAAAAGGGTTTACCAGTAAAGAAATTTTCCTTTTGATATGTATTTCTTAAAGATAACAAGAAAGCCCCCCAGTCTCTTCTCTTAAAGATAGCAGCCAAAGCGGGGGCTAAGGCGGGAGCATCCCTTGGGATGTCTGAAGCCAAGATAAGTGGGGCAGAAGCCGGGGCCTTGGCAGGAGCGGTAGCTGGGCAGAGGGCTGCAGCCGAAGCAGCGGAAGCAGCAGCAACAAAAGCAGCAACAGAAGTCGCCACAAAGACGCTTAAGGATTTTTTTTTTCAGTTTTAGAAATATTCTTGATGTGTAATGCCTAATACTTTAGGTTATTCTTGTTGAATCATTTACCGTTATGACTTAGATTCGAAAATATCACATTATTATTGTGATCAAACACTGAATTAATTAAACAATTTCGGCTGTAACTGAGCTAGTTTGACAAAACAATATATAGAGTTGTTCCACAAATGAAATACTTGTAGCTCTAAGAACCTGCTCAGCAAGGGTGTATGCACTCCGAGTATGTTTGGGGTTTGGAGGCATTGGTATTTGAAAAGGAGAGGAAAAAACCGGAGTACCCGAAAGAAACATCAGGGGAAGATAGTAATTAATGCTCAACATCACACTGGGTTAATTATCCGGGACATGAACCCTGGTCACATTCATGAGAGGCGATCGCTTTCATCACCTCCCCTTGGTCCTTACTCTTAATTCTTTCCTCAAACGACACTCATCCGACTAAATTGACCACACCATCCTTTCAGTCGTTTAACATATACACAGCAAATGGAAGTGTCATACCCGTGGAACCTGTTGCAGCGCCGCAGACTACAACTCAAGCTGGTACTAGCGGAGTAAATAGAACAGAAACGACACTGACGAGTGGGGCAGCGGTCAGTCAGACAGGGACCCAAGGTCAAACAGGTCAAATTGTAGCGGGTCAAACTGAGCTGCAATCAACATACAATGCAACAATAGGAGTTCAATACGGCGGGACACCAGGCCATCCGCTACCAGGTCACCCAGGGATATATCATGGCGCATTTGTGTACAACAGAGCAGTCCCATACTATATTCCACCTAAGACTGACAACCCTCACGAAGCTGCCACAGCTAAACAGTTTGTGGACCCACGAGGTCTCGCGAAAGTGAGTAAGTAGACAACCATTATTCATCACCATTTCAGATCGTGCAGAACGTTTGACGTTTGAACTTTTTTGCTTTGAGTAACAGCCCTGAAATTTCACAGCTTTTTACTAAAATTAACGAAACCATAAAGGCTTGCGTGTCGTGCTCTTCGCTAACTTCAACTTTTCCATGGCAACCCATTTTTTATAGTCATGAATATTGCAAATCATAAACTTTTGTTGGTAATAACGTTTTTAGAGAGACATCCCAGAGCATCAATGAAATGCCTATTTTAACAGCAAAATTACTTTCGATTCATAAACTTGTCACTTAGTAGAACTGGTAGTTGTCTCTTTCTCTTATCATGTTAGTTAAATTTAAATTGACCCTAGAGCATAAAAACAGGCCATTTCCGAGTTCCAAAAACTCTCACTTTCAAAATGACTCTAAATGCTAACCTTTTCTTGTGAAAATAGGTTTTATTTGTTTGAAAGTAAAAAGTCATTTTCATATCATTCAATCAATGACTTTGCGCTTAGCCTCGCTTTGAAACAGAGGTAATTAAGGTAATTCGGAAATGGGCTATTCGTTTGAGGGAAAAAGAAGATGCCACCAAAATAACACTAAAAACTGCAAGCTCATAAACTGGAGTTATCATGCGTATATTTTGCAGTTGTACATGGTGCTCTGTATGTGATTCATGCCTTTGATGTACCCGCTGCTCAAAATCCTATGTACAATCTTTGTTGGCGAATAAGTAATGACAGATTGGAACTAACTCAGCATTGTCAGGTAAGATAGCCAATTCAAAAAGCTATGCCAGTTCTTGGTGTACCATTCTAGAAGACAATATCTACTGTATATTTGCAAAATTGTCGCAAAATGTATAAAAAGATCGTCGAAAACTGAAAATTTCCTATGAGCACTTTCTTTTGCCAGACCAAATTCAGAACTTTTGAATTCACTGTTTGGCCAGGGAAAAGTGGAGAAAGAATTCAAGTGCCTAGCAAGTGCACCTGATATTCTCCCGTTCATCGTGGAATCTTTGCTGCGATAATTGTGTTCTGCCCGTTATTATTCACTTCCAATAAACCACACCTGAGTAGTGTAGGACGTACTAGTTAGACCTCTTAATTGTATTGTTCACGGGAGAGAGACAAAAGGCTATGATATCATCGGCGTTAATGCATTTGACTTCACACTAATGAGATTTCACTTCAAAAAAGGTGTCTAACGAGTGCGCCCTGTACTACTCCCATGGATCCCCCGGAATGCTATTCCCAGGTTGAAAGCAGCATTATCAGTGATTTTTTTTGGCAGCCTGTTGTCAACTTCATATTCCATATCTTAATTGAAATTTTCTGCGCTAGGAGACCTCGGATAAAAAATCATTAAGTTTAGAAAGCTGGGACTTCTGCAAAGCGTATTTGCCTTCACTATTCCACTCTCTCAGCACATTACACTAATATCCTTACCATAATTTTGTGTTCCTTTTCTTTTCTACTTTGAAACCTAGGTTATTTCTTATACTTAATATTAAACAGGCTTTTATGGTCTACATTCCTGGATTCGACAACGGAACCGGCGAACACCCGACTATATCATTTGAATCGGCCTGCGCCCCTAGTCATTTCGTTCGACAAAAGAACTACAAATTTGTTTTAGGAAAGAAGGGAGATACGAAATTTGGTAAGTTTATTTGATGTATATTCGGAGGAGAAAATTTCCATTTCCGTTTTTTTTTACGAGCTCATGATTAAGTTTCTGGTAGACTTTAGTTTAGTTTCCATGTTCAAAGGTAAAGGGGAATTTTTTCAAAACTCTTTCCAGTTCCTCGGAAGTTTATGATACGAACTCAGCTGAAATTTTACGACTGACATTTTTGTGTATCAGTTCTGCACTGCCAAAAGAGGTAATCCGCGTCTCACACAGGCAGTCAAACCAATACCGAATTTTCTATTAAAAGCCTTCGTCGTAATCATTAAAGTCCCTTTTCTTCTGACCTTCAGACTATGACGCCACGGCAGCCTTTTTCCAAGTGTTTTCGTTGCCAGGAGCTTTCCAGTTCAGTCTTATGCGTAAAGGATGGTACATTTGTAGAAGTGAGGACTCAGACTATCACCGTGTAAAGATTGTCACAGACTACAACATGGCGTCTAAATCATGGCTTAGACGATGCTCGTTCGCCCTAAGGCCTTTAGCAGCGAACGAGGATCCGCTTATGAACTGCTTTGGAACGCGTCCGCCACCAACGCCACATCAAAAGCCTGGAATAAGTGCTACACCAACCTCCCCTCCACCAGGGACAAATAAAACCATACCTACCACTCATTCTACAAATGCTACTACACCAACCACTCCACCCAAAGAAGAAGGTGAAAAAATCCCGTCGTTTTTCATGTTTTCCACAAAATTGTCCTCCATCTGTTTTAAGTATCGATCATTCAGGCGTCAGACACTTAAGACAATCCCTTGTTGTTTTGACTATATCCCCATTTTTCATTATATTTTGGAAGAACTGAAATGCACAAAGGGATGAAAGCTAGACCCCAGCGAGGTACTGAAGAAATTTTAGGCAAGGGGTGAGCGAATCCATAGCCTATACCAACCAGACCATGTTCAACATGTTCAGTTACATTTGGCAATCTTTTTCTGGACTACACACCCCCAAAAATACCTATCCTGTGTCAGAGAGTTAAGGAGAAGAAACTCATCTTCATACCACTGACCCTATTCTACACTAAAATGAAATCCCCTGAAATCTGTACCCTTCTCCAGCCTATAATGTTTGGAACCGTCCATATCCTTCCCTGTTGAACAAACCCTTTTATCCCGTATGATTCGAGTTGGGGTACGTGTCCCAACCTTCCTTCGGTATGCAATCTAAAATTTTATGAATTTTACTGTTTACCCGTATTGAGGGAGTTTTAGCAGCGACAAGGGCGACGGCAGCGAAAATATCACTATTAGAATGAATTCGCATTTTTAAAAAAATATATATATTGCGTTTATTTCAACTCCGAGTCGCTTAATGCAGGTAAATTTCCCAAGGGACGAAAGAAAAAGAATGATGTCGTCGCCGTTTGTTTACGGCCAACATAAAAATTCGCATGAGGAATTTTCACTTCATGGTCGTGCAGTGACGGTAAAGAAATGAACAAAAAGTGTACTGCACGTGCAAAGTTATTGTTTTGCTAAATAAACCTATTGCTTTTTGGGCTTTCTCGTTGGCGTTGCCTCAACCTTTTGGTGCTTTGCTAACGACGACGGCAACTTTCCAAACTTTAGTGCACACTGGAAAAACTGGACCTTTTACAGAGATAGTAAGATGTCTATAAATTGTAAATTTTATAGACTTTTTACAAGAGTTAAAATGTACCCCTCTTTCGTAGTCCCCAAGAAATCGACTCCAGGAAAATTGGACTGTATTTGACATTTTCAGCGAATTGGAATAAACGCGAATTCATTTCAAAAGTGGCGTTTACTTTGCCATCCCCGTCATCGATGCTAAATCTCCATCTTGTTCCCAGGGTCCTTTCTTACCCCCTCTTCCCCGGAGCGAGAGAAAAGGAACGATTAGGAAAGGACCCTGGGAACAAGATTGTCTTTGGGGTTGGTAAAGCTAAGTCCCCTAATGCTGAATGCTTCTTGCTTGTTATGATACCTTCATTTTTACTCCTCGCTTTAGGTCCTTGCCTGAATTTTCATTTCTGGAACGATGCCGGTATACCCTTTATGCTCTATTCCAGTCTTAAGCCGGAAGGCTACTTAGTCACAGGACCTGAGATTCATCTTCACTACGTCATCCGAAATAAAAAAGTGGTGGGCCTGGTCCGTCTTCCAGATAGGAGAGATAAGGTCTCTGTTTCAAATGGACCTCTACTTTCAGAGGTACGAAAACGAAACGCTACGCTCGGACCAACTAAGTACCTAACTGCAGTTATTTCAAAACATTTCCTTCCAACATTAATTTTCGGTCATGTTTACGGAACCACAAAGTTGGTAATGCATTGCAAATGACGTGAAATATTTAACTGAGTACTGTGTTGCATGTAATATAGGTTTTACAAACTCCATGGATACTAAAAAAAACAGTGTTCAAATTATATGGGTTTATGAGATGATATTTGCTTTTAATTTACTGCAATCAAATATGAGGATTAAACATTGATTTGCCCATAGATACCCTTTTTAACAGCTGGTATCTGATTTACGCAAAGGTAATGAATGAAATAAGTGAAAGCCAGCAGCTGTTACTTGACTCACCGGGATCAAAAATAGCAGCTAACCAGATTGTCAAATTTTGGGCAAAGGATCCCTACGGAAAGCGTGAGATTCTTTTGGATGGCAAGAAAGTTGTGTACGCTATCCCGGGAATTCACTGCTACCACCACGTAAAAATTACAGTGACATCAAGGCCTAAACCAAGTAAGCACAAGAAATAAAGGTGTTATATGCATAATTCCTCAAGCTAGTGCAGGTAGATAGAAAGACACAAGAGTTAAGGTCACGGGCTGTGGAATGGTCAGACTTCTGCCTCCCAAACCAAGTTCAACAAAGTTAATTTGTTTCAAGAACGGCCTTAACTAAGGGAACTTATCTGTTAGGTCTCCTTTGAGACGTTTTGTAATAAGCAGCAACCTATGATGCGCAAAAAGCTTTTATATGACAGTATTTACATAGATACAAAAATGTGGTTTTACCAACTGAGTTGATTTTATTAGTATAGTGGCTAAAGTGTGTAGGAGGATGGGCAAGCTGTTTATTGAAGTGCTAACCCTTAATCATTCGGATAAACTTTTAACAAGTTTAAGTATCGTCCGCAAAGTATTATACTATCAAACGTCTTTTGTTTGATTCTAGCTCCATCAACAACCAAGCCAACAACTCCAAAACAGACAACAACAATGAGACCAGCGATTACTTCTCCTGTGCCAACCACACCAGCTCCAGCTCCACCAACCACACGTATCACTGCACCACCACCTCCTCCACCAACTCTCTTTCCTCATATACATGTCCACTTACACGCTCCTCCACCACCAGTTCGACATGCACCCACACCGGTATATGCACCTCCACCGCCACCAACAACACCGGAGCCATCTCCTCCAGCACTGCCACCAACGAAACCACCACCACCACCGCCTCCCCCAACAAAACCTCCAAGCACCAAAACAACGCCACCGCCACCACCATGCAGTCCAGAAGGCGGTTCCAGTACAGCTGGTCCATGCGTTGCACTTACTATTGAGCCTGTTACAACACCTCCACCGCCATGCTCTCCTGGATCCACATCTCCGTGTCCTCTCGTCGCTACCCCTCCACCAGTCACTCCATCCCCTCCATGTTCTCCACCGGGGGGGCCTCCTGTACCAGGGGCCCCACCTCCTTGTCGACCACCATCAACTGCACTGCCACAAGTTTTACCTGTTACTTTACCAACCCTTCCGCCAATTTCAACTGCTTTGTCAGCTGCAGGTAAGTTAAATTTAAGCCAGGACTTTTCTGTAGTTATAAAATTTTGAGCGTCCATGGACGGTAGTCGAAACACGACCATGGTGGAACAGGTTAAGTATGCTCTACCCACTGAGCTATGGAAAACCCGTTGTAACCAAGGTCATACAAGATTCTTTTTATCCGTGAGTCTCACCACGACATCCAACTGGCAGTGGGTGAAAAAATTGTTTAGACACTGTCCTTAAACGGGGTGTATTTCGGGAAACAAAACGATGTCCCCCCCACAAAAATGACGCTAGGAAACCAGTGGTGAGGTCTTTAAATGTAGAAAGTAATCTCAGGCTAGTAGTTGAAATGTGCTGAAAACCAAGCAAATAAATTTCACGTAAACGCTCGATCCAAAATTGTAGAAATTGAGCTCGCTAGTTTTAAAGAGCATAGTGCCTTTATTGATTCGTGATGTTCGGTACGTGCTTTTTTATTTTACAATCTTATATCTAATAAGATTTCCTCCGATTCCAAGCTTATTTTATTCTATACAAAATGAGTCGACACACTTGAATAGTGCTCCTTTAACTGACAAAATTGTTTATCTGTCAAACTCAGGCTATTGAATTTTTAATACAGTCAACGTTGGGTGTTATTCTCCTATATCCAAAAAGAAAATAATTAGCGACGGGATAAAGAAGATATTAGGAATTAGGACTAAAAGTTATTAGACGTTTTTTAGGCGTCTCAACAACTTTCCTAAAACCTGTAAACTCATTTTCCTTTGCTTTCTATTTCAGTTGCGATTACAATCCAAGGTAAGCAAAAATGATGTTGCTCATCATCACCGATAAGCTGAATTCGGTGTATGGGGAAAAATCCTAGTTTTTTGATCTTCTGAAAACTTCTAAAATTTTAAGGCAGTATTTTAAGAAATCATTCTTAATTTATGAATGATGTTGGGTGTGGAAATTGCAGAGCTAGATATGCATCCTGACATGACTGGGACAAGGTTTATCATAAAGTTGCTTGCAAAAGAATAACAACAAACGACAAATGACAACAAAACAAACAAATTCTTTTCTGTGGTGCTGGTGTGGTGCCAAATTTTTGGTGTCCACTAAAGCATTTACATTTGCTTTATTGGAATAAAACTCTTGAAATAAACAATTAGATGGTTACACTAAAGAGAAAACCATTTAATATTTAAAAAATATATATAGTTATTTTGTTATCACATCAGGTTGTATGGCCACCCATGGTGGGACTTCGCATGGTGCTTGCTGTATGTTTCCCTTCATCTATAATGGAACACCGCACCATCGCTGCACAAGGGCAGAGCGAGGGTATCGCTGGTGCTCAACCACTGCTAATTATGACGTAGATAAACAGTGGGGGTTTTGTGCGTCCTGCTATCTGTGCTACGGCGGCAACTCAAATGGGAACTGCTGTCATTTTCCCTTTATCTATGGTGGGAAAATGTACACAACTTGCACCAATCAGGATGAATCCAAGCCCTGGTGTGCTACGACTTACGACTACGATGTTGATAAACAATGGGGCTATTGCGGAGGTAAAAGGAAACTGTTTTCTAATTGATGCCTACACAATACTTTTCTGATTACAACAGTCGATACGTGTAGTTCGCTAGTCAGCATTGTGGTTAGTTACACATCCCGGCCATACTACTCATTGTGGTCTCACCATTTGTAGCCGCGACCTTAGTTATGCTAACAGTACTTAACTACATATCCTTTTAGGGTGAGTTAAGGTGAAAGGTTTGTACGCAGCGACGCTACGTCATTGACACAAGCATTATATTGCAGAGATTTCCTGAAATTTTTGTAAGGATAGTAATTACACCCTTCCAAGAAGAACATGCCATCCCATCTTTGTGTCAAATTTCTATGGAGAAAGATACAGTATACGTCAGTACTATTAGTTTACGATCTGGCCTTTAACAGTTCGATTTTAATAGAACGCGATGGTTCGAATGTAAACTCAAAGAACAATCTACTAAACTGTATACAATTCAAAAAGCATACAAGCATATAAAACTCGTGTCTTTACTCACCTAAAATGCCCACGAACTTCCGGACAAACCAACGATGAAAGCCTAAACAACTCTACCACTATAACGCTTAATGGCATGATGACGTTATACACCAAATCTCACGCTCTAATTGGTTATTGTATTAGCCCTTTGTTACCTTATCTTTCACACCAGTCGAGATTTTTTTTCGCCTGTACAATACCTTGCACATCGGCTGTATTATGCTGCCGCCCCGTCAGCCTCGCGTTTTCACTCAGCTGAATCGTTGGCAATTAGGAAAATGTAAGGTATAGTTATTCGTTCTTGTTCTTTATTTATCCAAAGGTGACTCCCCTGGGTCAGTTCCTCAGCCCAAGCTCGCCTACGCACCATGCTCTTCTGATTGCGACGGGATGTGTGTAGATACTTGTCCTGATTACTGCTGTGTAAAGGGGAAAACAAGTGTTCAGCTGCAGATGCCTCCCGTAACAACTCAACCTGCACAGGTAATAACCTTAAGACGCGATTTTCTGTAGGAGCGAAGCTGCGCCACGCCCATCTCTAAAGGGGAGAGTCACATATCGGATAGGTGTTCACACTATATACCGTATAGCTTTTCGTGTCTACACAAAAAGGCTATCTGTAGCCTGCTAGCAAGCTCTCCTATTTGGGCGAGTGAAGCGAGTCTCGCAAGAACGCGCGAGCGGGCGGCGAACCGCGAGGGACAGGGGAAAGGCCCCTCGCTCGCGCGTTCTCGCGAGGCTCACTTCGCTTGCCCAGATAGGAGAGCTTGCTCCAAGGCTAGGCTATCTTGTATAATGCGAACATTTCTCAAATTCGCTACAATGTGTTTAAAAACTCATCATATGACTGATCGATCTATCCCCAATTACAGTGAAATTTATGGAAAGGATCCACAATAAAATCTTTCCTGTAACTTGGCACCCAGCTATATCCAGGTTCGAATATACCCGGGTCCCAGTGGATAGAAAATTATGATAAAATTGCTTATTGCAAATCATTTCAAAAGAAGGCGTTTTATTGACTTAGAAACGACGTCCTTTTTCAGTTTCAGCAGAGTTTTGAGGCTCTTCAGCAACAACAGTCATGTCCAGCAATCTGCACCAAGCTTTGCGTACCAGACTGCCCCGTGAGGTGCTGTAATCTTTCTCCTGCTGCTTCGTACGTACCTGCACCTCCACCAATACCTTCATACTGTCCTCAGATTTGCTACAGTACGTGCATTAGCTCATGCCCGGCACACTGCTGCTCAAGCTCGCGACGAGGAGTTGGCCGTAACAGTTTACTGGGCGTAGACACTCCACCCTGCCCGAGCGACTGCTATTCTAGTTGCCACTTAAACTGCCCACCGCAATGCTGTAAAATTAAAAGGGAAGGTAAAAGCAACATGCCCCTGTACTGGACTGATAGTTAGATATGATAGATAGATATGATGGCGATAATATTCGAGGATGGGTGGCGGTGCTGCTAGAATGTGGTTAGAGGTAAACATTCTATAATTGAGAAAAATTGCCAGGTACAAATTTACTCTCTTCCCGCCTTTATTGACTTTTTCCCACCATTTTTTCTTGCGTTGGCACAAGATATAAAAAAAGGGCTCGCTGATCTTAGCATGCTTTCGCTAAAGATAACATTTTCCCGAAAGCTTCAAGGAGCAACGAGTGCGATTGATTCGTCAATTAACCAGAACGTGCTCTACTGAGAAGAATCTTGCAGGTAGTCCCGGATAAAACTGAAAGCAAACAAAATACAAATTAAAGTAACACGCTTTTTACATTTAGTTTCTGTTCTTTACTCTAGCTACCCTTATCTGGCTACCCACCTTTTCTGTTATTTTTCATGCTCAAACGGTTATCAAAATATGGGAAATGCTATCTTGTTCTTTATCTTTGTCAAATGTTTCCTTTCAGTTTGTAAAGACGGTCTGCGTACAATCGGTGGGAATGCAGAAGGGGCCTGCTGCAATTTGCCTTTTATCTACAAGGGTGCGGTTTATTGGGCTTGTACCACCCAAGATTCTGTGAAAAGATGGTGCCCGGTTAATAAAGTGTTCGAACTCGACAAAAAATGGGGCTTCTGTGTATAGCTGGGTGAGTAATGGTAGGAGCTGCGAGAGTATTGCATTAACTCATGAGTTTTCCACACATTGTTTTTAGTTGAAATTGTTTCAAAGAAGAAGTGACTTCAATTCGTGTGCGATTGTGAAAGAAACAAAACACAATAGTACGCGTAAAAGGCCATTTACAAGATCACGTGATGTACCTAAAACCACCAACAATATTTAGGTATTTGATTTCTTATGCAGATTAGGTTCATTGTTATCCAGAACTCTCAGGAAGAGTAGACTTTGAAAACGAGCAAGAAATGAATAATATTCTCCCGGGTGTTTGGAAGTCCCCATGAAAATCTGTTTGTCACTTCTCTTTTCTTAACGATACATCTAGAAAACACTGCAGTGCGCGAGAACATGTTGTGGTAAAATAATTATATAGACCTGCTAATTTTTCGGGTCGAAGATGTTTTTCCACGTACTGCTTGGTGAGAAATTTTTCTCATTTTGCAATCTGATCGAGACTGTATGAATCCATAATTTTGTCTAAATCTTGTTTCAGATAACTTTTAAAACCAGCACACAGACACAAAAGACCCAATATCCAGACGACCGCAAGGCTGATGAACATGCCCAGTGCTGAGTGTTTTTGTTACTGAAGTTCTGTCTTACCTGCTAATAATACAGAGGAGAAGTCGTTACGTCACGTTGCCATTGAAGCAAAATTTCTGGGTCTCAACAAACCGTGGTCCTTCAGATATGGCAGGCAAAAAAAAAACGAGTGATTGTACTCAGGAACAATGCAAATGGCCGTCTCTGTCAACAAAGATTGTTGAGATCTAGAAATTGTGCTACCATCATGATGGTAATGTGACGTTACCCTTCCCTTTATCTTGACCTGGCCTAAATACGACAGTGTATTGCTTATATGGTATCCTTTTCTGCTTTTAAAGTTTGCACGCGTTCCTGCTGCGATGCTTGGCTGTGAGATAAATGGGAACGATTAATTTTTATTCGAGCAGTTCGGGACACGCACTAGTGGCCGTTGCCGTTGTAGAGAGGTTTAAAATAAGAGTCAATGTGTGGACTGTCTGCCGGGACAAAATAAAGTGGCCATTGTGGAGAGTTCAGTGGCCGTTAGTGGAAGTTCGACTGTATTTCTCGTTCAGTCGATACCGCTTGATGTTTTTTAAAAGCGCGTACTCGTTCAGCTCTTTTAGAACTTGTGGAGTGGTCTTCTTCCAAAACTTCTTAAGGTAATTAGTTAGCATTTAAAATGATTGTTCTGAAGCCTAAGTGAACGTCAGTCTATAATTAACCAGTAGAACCATTAACTTGTTATGATTTCCAAAAAGCTTGTTTAAAATTAAACTTTTTTAAAAAATATATTTCGTTGCGTTACATGTTCTATTGTATCGTTAATAATCATGATTGTCCAAACAAAGATTGCGCCCCCTCTCCTCCCCTCCCACCCAAAGTCGCGAGCGTAGACAGCTATTTCAAAAGGTGTCGGATTTTATTAAGGGTTGTTTACTATTTACAAAACATTTCCGGAAAATCGGGTTGGAAAGTTAATGCAACACGACTTTTTGGTCATTCCAGCTTATTGCCACCAGAAAGTAAAATAGTTTTAGATGCATTTGTCGCCGTCATAAGGACAACCAGATTTTTCCCAGGGGAGCATATTCCCGGACCCCCCAGTATCCTTACCCTAATGGGTGTCGATTAACCCCCTCAACCCCCGCCCCTGACCCCTTAACCACTGTAAACCCTGCTCCGCAGGTCTGATACCTGGAAGCTATTGAATACACTGTAGACCTTAATTGATTTTGTACTATTTTGAATAGAACCTCTATTTTTCTCAGAAAGTCAACGGTTAACAACCGCCTGCAGTTAATGTTGCTCTCTTAAAACGTGTTTAAAACCATATTACCTCATGAAATGTCGACTTGCTAAGCAGGTGGTTAAAGGCTTTGAAACAAGGTTATGATGCTCACGGAAGTCAGGAGAATTTCAATCGAACCCATATAATGAACATTCAAGATGAGGAGTCTTCTGATTTTATTCTGTCGCATTTTCGCGATCGAAGTTAACAGGCTGTGCTTAGCACAGAACAAGAAACCCAATGGTAAGCCACTTTATGACAAGCAAATTAACTACTTCCTTTCACTCACCACGTTGCATGGCTCTTTAGATAACAGGAGTAATTGTTATTATTTTTAAAAAAAATTTCAAAGGCTAAAATTGCCTCGGAGATTGCATTAAACTTAAATTTTCATTAGATCAAAATCAAGCTAGTGTTACTCTGTTTTTTTTTTTCGACAAGAGTGAGAATAGAGTTTTATCACTACAAACATCTTCACAAGAACCGAGACATCTAGCTATTCTGATTATCGCACTGATCAATATCTACTTTAAACCACACTTAGAAAATGTTTAACTTGGCCTCTTCTAAGTTTACTTCAAACCAATGGAATAAAATTAAAGATATTACCAGTAGCTGGCGTCTTAAGGTATTTTGGCAGTTTCCCTGTTTGATAGCTGGTATTTTGGCAAAGAACATGTCAGCAAATTGGAAGGTACCCACAAAAAGACATGACAATGGCTTATTTGACTGTGTTAAAAGGTCTTCGAAAGTTTATAGCTCGTTGAGTTGTGGGGGTGGAATTGCTAAACCCGTCTTTTTTTTTTACATTAGAGTAAGTGAATAAAGTAAGGACGTTGGTGCGATATTTTTCTTTTGGATTTTTTCAGAGGAGGATAGGAACCATATTCGCTTGACTGGAATTGTCAAACGACAGCTATACGGTTAGTACTAATTTTCCATAATAAGACATAAGACTATAAGACAATGATCACCACTTTGCGGTTCTAGAATTAAATTGTGTGACCTTAAACAAAACTTTTGTTGCAAGTAAGCATTAACGTTAGCGACCGCCCACCGGCAAGCAATCTTAGCAGCAAAGAACAACAAGTTCTAAAAAACATACTAACCTTGAGACTTGGAGCGCGAAAAAGTTTAACAAAACGTAGAAAATTTGATTTAAAAAATATTCAAATAAAACAATGTTCAGCAAAGCGACCAACATACCATTCAAAAATGTCCTTATTATATCGTCCATTGATTCAAGCAAGAGGAAATTGCAGTAGATAACTGGAATCTTTCCATTTTTGTTTTAATGCAAAATGGATCAAGGAAATGTGTTTGGTGAAGTTATAGAAAGAAAAGAAGCTTTCTTAGACTATAAAAAACTTGATTTAAAAAAGTCCCCAAACTTGCATTTTTGCCAAGGGTTTTCCATGGTTTATGGACTAACCCCCTTGGACAGATGCAAATTTCGGGTTTTGTTATATGATGTTTTTACATCGTCTGAACAGGCTTTCTTTTCTCTGTAGAACTTCAACAAACACTTCTTCTTGATCCATTTTATATTACAAAAAAAAATTGGGAAAATCTCAATTTTTTGAAAACAAAAAATATGGAAAAATGCAAATTTGGGGGCTCTTTTAAAGCTATGTTTTTATAGTCTAAAAGGCTTCTTTTGACTCAAAAAACTTCACAGAAACTTTTTCTTAATCCATTTTGCATTAAAACAAAATGTAAAAAGGTCCCAATTTTTTTGACAAAAACCATGAACTAAAACCTTTATTTGGAAAAATGCACGTTTTGGGGCTTTTTGAAATAAAGGTTTTTATATTTCAAAAACTCTTCTTTTCTTTCTAGAACTTCACTAATCACTTTTTCTTCATGCATTTTGCGTTAAAACAAAAGATGAAAAAAGTCTCAATTTTTATACAAAAACCAAACTAACCTCTTTGGGAAAATGCGAATTTTTGGCCTTTTTTAAAATTGATGTTTTAATAGCCTAAAAACAGAACTTTTCTTTTTAAAACTGAACCAAACACTTTTTCTTGATCCATTTTGCATGAAAACAAAAGATGGAAAAATCTGAATTTCTGGAAAAAATTATGGACTAACTCCTTTGGAAAATTGCAAACTTTGGGCTTCTTTAAATCGATGTTTTTTTAGGCTTAAGAGGCTCCTTTAATTTCTTGAACTTCACCAAACACTTTTTATCGATCCATTTTGCATTAAAATGAAAGATGGAAAAATCGAAACCAAACAGTTTTGACAAAAACCATGGATTAACCCCTATGGAAAAATGCAAATTTTGGCCTTTTTTAAAATCGATGCTATTCATAGTTAAAAAAGGCTTCTGTTCGTTCTAGAATATCACCAAACATTTCGCATTAAAACAAAAGATGGAAAAATGTAAAAAATGTTTTGACAAAAACCATGGACTAACCTCTTCGGAAAAAAGGCGAATTTTGGGCCTTTTTTAAATCGATGTTTTTTAGTCTTAAAAGGCGTCTTTTTTTTTTTTCTGGAACTACACCAAACACTTTTGTTGATCCATTTTACGTTAAAACAAAAAGATGGAAAAATCTTAATTTTTTTGACAAAAACCATGAAAAATGCAAATTCTGGGCCTTTTTTAAATCTATGTTTTTTATAGTGAACTAAGGCTTCTCTTCCTTCTAGAACTTCACCAAACACTTTTTATTGATCCATTTCGCATTAAAACATAGGATGGAAAAATCTCATTTTTTTGACAAAAACCACAGACTAACCCCTTCGGAAAAATGCACATTTTAACCCTGTTTTAAACCGAGGATTCTTATAATCAAATAAGGCTTTTTTCCGTTTTAGAATTTCACCAAACACTTTTTTTTCATCCATTTTGCATTAGAACAAATAATGAAACGATGAAAAAATTGTAAATTTTAAGTTTCTTTATTCGAAGTTTTCATAGCCTAAAAAGACCCCTTTTCTTTCTAGAACTTCACAGAACACTTTGTCTTGATGCATTTTGCATTAAAACAAAAGGTGGAAAAAGTCTAAACTTTTTGACAAAAACCATGGACTACCCGCTTTGGAAAAGTGCAAATTTGGGGTTTTTTAATCCGGGTTTTTATGGTATAAAAAGGCTTATTTTCTTTGTACAACTATACCAAACACTTTTTCTTGATCCATT